ATACAGCCTTAAGAAAAGGCAAAAGTGATGGAATACCCAATGCTGAAGCAACTACAGCAAATGCACGAGCTGTAGTATTACGAACATATTCATCAATATTATCAATATCAGGTCTCATAGTAGATATCATAGTTGCTAAACCAGCTGCTTTAGCTAAATTTGAAATAATTTCACGTCCTTCAACACGAGCATAGTAATCTTCATCAATCAAAAGTGGTTCAATAACTACCAATATCTAGGGAAAAAAATTACTACTTTAATCAGTTGTTCTGTATTTAATTTCTACAGCTGATACATTTAATATTTTAAACGAATAGTTTTGTAAATAATTAATTTTAATACATTTTTGAATATAGCATGATAAACAAAATTGTTGGTTATTTTTTTGGTTGCTTAATTTTAATATATAGGATATTCATATTAAGCCGTTATTAGACTAGGAAGAATATGTGAAATAAATGATACCCGATTTACAGTTAATGAAAAAATATTCATAATAGAGAAGATTGGTAAGGAATTTAAGATGTGTTTAGGTAACAAACAAAAAAATTATTTCAATTTGTCTGTTATACCAAACCAAAAACTTATTCTTTTTAATGAAAAATAAAATTTAGTAATTTAGTAATTTTCAATTTTAAACACCAACATTAAGATAACTCAAATATTTTTGATTAAAAAAAAAAACATTAATTCTATAAATGCATATGACGTATCTATTTTTCAAACAGTGAAACTCTAAATTTTAGTATGATAATTAAATATGACTTACTTTATGGACATATGGTCGGACTAAGTCATCAAGTTTATATAAAATTCTATCAATAACTTTAACCAATAAATGTCGTTCTTGGTCTTCAAGTGTAGGTGACATAAGTAAAGGCAAAATTTGATTGAACAATGGACCAGCACCCAATTCTCTAGCTTTATCTGTAACTTGCCTTAAAGCAGCTTTTCTCATTGGTGGTGTACCATTTTTAATTTTTAAAAGCAATTTCATAATTTTTCTTTCTTTTTGTTCTTCTAATGTTAAACTTTCTTCATCAACATCCATTAACAATTTATCGAAATACTGGGCATCTTCAGGTTTTAACATAGGAAGATTACCAGGTGGTTGATTGTCAACTATTTGTGTTTTAGTTGGACGGTCTACAGATTCTTGCATAAAAAACCCTGTTGGTGTGCCAGCTATTGGTGTAGGCGTAGCAGTTAATTTACGGGCTGGAGTTCGGATTGGTATGTATCCAGCAGGCGGTTGAAGTACTTTATAACCAGGTGGAAACATTGCATCTAACTCATCGTCAGTCAATGGACGATTGCGCTCATCAATTTCACGTTCCCACCTATAAGCCTGTAATTGTTCTGGAGTCATCGACAACAAATGACCTAAACAAATAATTAAATATAGTAGGTGTAAATATTTTAAAATTAATTTTTATACATACCTGGAGTTGGTGTAGCCATACCCATGGCAGTATGTCCAATTGGTGTAGCGGCACTATTTGAAAGTACAGGAGTACGGGGTACCATTGGTGTCATAGGAGTAGCACCAGGTGTCATACCACCAGGTGTAGGTGTCATAGAAGCTCCCGATGGTGTAACTCCTACTTTTGGAGTTGCTGCTCCAGGTGTAAGACTACCAGGTGTAGCTGATGGAGTCATTTGAGATGGTGTTTCATCCCAACGTGAACGTCGTTTACTCGCAGATGGTGTTGGAGTGTCTTGAATTAAATCAATACCTCCACGATCTGTACGGGGAGTTTCAGCCCATCCACTATTATGACCAGGTGTAGCTAAACAATGGTATATATGGTAATTTATTTCTTTTGATTAACTACAATAATTAAAAAATACCTCTTTCTGTTTTAGGAGTTTCATCCCAACGATTTCTTCGCACTGATGTTTGTGTAGCTCCTACATGCCCTGGAGTATCACGACCAGGGGTTGCAGCTCCTGCAGCAGGAGTAGTATGCCCTGGAGTCGCATCCCACATTCTAGTACTTTGACCTGGTGTGGCACCAGGTGTTTCTGCTCCCATTTTAGTCGGTCCAGGAGTTTCATCCCAACGTGATAAGCCTCCTTTAGGAGTCTAAAATTAAATAGTTCAAGATTTAATTTATAAAATTATACATATTTAATGTAAATAATAATAATAATAATTCATACCATTGCTGATTTATTTTTTTTAAACAATTAGATAAGTTACTTACTTCTTCCCAAGGAGTAGAATTAGTTTTCTTTTTGGCAGGTACTCCAGAAGAATCACCATTTTGCACAACTTGATCCCATCGTCCTCTTTTCCTGACTGTACCTTTGGCATCTCCATTAGTTTTAAGATTGCCATCTTTAGCTTTATCTATAATTGTTTTTCGTACTTCATTTTCTTCACCCTTTAATTTTTGCTCTTGCATAATTTGTGAGTATGTCCTGGATCCAATATCTGGAGTTTTCCCACCTAAAAAGACAATACAACAAATTTAACAAAATATTATGATACATACTCATGACTATTAATAATAAAAATTAAAAATGGCAAATGAAAAATTTAAAAAAAAGTAACTAAACAATAATACTAATAGAATAATTGTTAATAATTTGGGCAAATAATATTTATTATTTTTATGTAAAAAGTGTTTAAAACTACCCTACTCCAGCATAGAATAAGTATAATACTAAAATTTGACTTAAATCATAATATCAAATTAATTTAGTTTAAATAAAACAAAAAATTAACATTACCTTCAGCAAACGGGTCAATACGTTCTGGCGATATAACCATAGGCCTACGAACTTGACGAGTATCATCATCTTTGTCTGTTGTTGCTTTTTGAAGACGTTTTCTTTCAGCAAAGGGATCATAGTCATCTTCATCATCTCTAGCCTAATATAAATATGAAACATTTAAAGTTTAAAATTAGATGTATGCAAGGAAATTATAAATAATAAAATGTTAATAAATATAGGATAAATATAGGAACTAGCTTACCTGTGCAATTTCTTTAAGAGCAGCTGCTGGTGCTGTTATAGGCTTTTTATTTCTATAATGTTGATCATCAATATCTTCATCCTAAAATATTAAATATGATACATCAATATGTGAGTAACTTATTAGAGTTGTCAATAATTTATGAAATACATATAGTATAACTTAAGTAAATATCTAATAATAAAAACAATTTTCAAAATATATAATATTAAGGGATGGTTTAATAATAAACCCTGTGATAAAAATTTAATTTATAAATTATATACATTTTCTATTTGGTATGATACTAATAATTTCCTTTTTAATATTTTTTTTATAAATTCAAATTTTAATTGGCTTAATTGACTGAAATATTATAATTATGCCAGATGAGGTCATTTAAAAATTAAGTTTAAAAAATATAAAGTTGAATTTTGATATTTTATGTTGCCTATAAATGTAAATAAGACTACCTATGCATAAATAATAAATAATAAAATACCACTATTTACAACTAACAAATAGATAATCTAAAAATTTTGACTTTTATCACTCAATTAAAATACACTTTTAACATTTAATTTCAAAATTACTTACATATCTCAAAGTACCAATTTTTGCAAAGGATTTAAATATATCTATTTTATTCAATTGAGAACATACTACAGTTAAAATTAACCTTTAGTTAGTAAAATTTAATGAAATAATGACAAAAGATAAGAAGAATTATATGAATTAATAGAAAAATTCTGACTAAACATACCCAATTATTATGATTGTGTAATAAACAAGATACCTAGTTAAATAATTTGTATATGGAAATGTGTAACCTATTGATACTATAATTACATGGTCTAATCAATTGTAAACCTTATTTGATGGTTAATTTTGTCTTAACATATAGCCATTAAATGTAATATCTGTTATAACTTAACTTTGACCACAAGTAATTTACACAGTAGACACCTAGATAAAGACACATGTAAAGAATATATCATGATTATTAGGGTATGTTGTTATTTACAACTAACAACAATAATTTCAGTTGATTGCAAAAACGAGATTTCACTATATAACACTGGGAATGATGGTTGTCAGACACAATTTTACACCCTTATAAGCTACCCATGGACCTTTTGAATATCAATTACATGAGGTCTGATAAACTAAGGCATACGTGTCGGATAGTATGCGTACTTACATCATATTCATCGTTAGGGGCGATGGACGTAACATAACCCTCGAACTTTCCACCGCCGTTATAGATGTCTTGGTCGAAAAATCCTGACGCCCCGAGTCCCACATCATTGTCGTCCTCTTTCTGTTTCTCATCTTTTTTGCGCTGCTGTATTTCGCGTATTTGCGTCTCGATATCCGCGTGCGTGGTCATGGTGAACGGCCGCAGACGACAGATTTATCCTCGGTTCCCGGTTTTTTTTTTTTTATATATAATTATATTATTCGCTGTACGTACCTCTGCGATACTATTCGGTAAAACGTTAACAACGAACACGATATATAACACGTTGCGATTCCCAACCCTGAGCGATTATAGACGTGAGAGCGATCTTGGCGATGATAAAACCTTAAGCCGAACTATGTTGTTGTTAAATTATATTAAATTGTTATAATAAACAATAAATACATTATATTATTACTAAATAATAAACGCATGAAAACGATTAAAAAAGCGACTGACCAAACAACAATCGATGATATTTGATGGGCTAGCCAACCATCCGCAAGGTTGGCAGTGCCGGATTGATGTACGTAATTATTATCTGTATTGTGATTGTAAGACCATGAACGCGGTGATAAACTGATAACTGACTATGATAACAAATATTGTCATATAATGCACAAGAACATAATAAAAAATTAAAATTAAAAAACAAATCGTCGAGAATAATGAACTGAAATGATAAATATTAAATACTGAATACTTTGCTACCATGAACAAGATCGTTCATGATTTTTAAATAATAATGTCAATATTTCAATAATATATCAAAAAGTTATATTAACGCGTCATCCTATTTTTAAATTTTTTGACGCTCCATTTATTCATTATATATAAAAAAAAAATATATTATTATATTGTTTAAAATTCTACCATTACCTACAGATCTATTTTGAAAATGGATGATTTATTTGTGAGTTTTATTAACGCGTGATTCGCCATATCTATATTTATACCAATACTGTTTTGATGCCAATGTTATAATATTCATTTGCAGGTATTATCAAAAACGGTATGCAAGGGTGTTATGGACAGCTTTAAAGGAGTCACTGTATTGTTTGTCCAAAACAAGCGGCCAAAGAAAGTTGGCAGACCAGTAAACTTACCAAAGTATGTAAAAAATTATAAATTTTGAGGTAATAAAGTATAAACTTCTAATTTTATAAATTTAATAAATTCTATAAATTCAATTTTAAATACTAGATAATTAATAAAATCTTGGTTGGATTATTTTTAAAAGTTTCTTAAAAACTGATGACTTGATCAATTGATTATAGTCTTGAATAGTACCTAAAATATTTTCTTATATGATTATGATTTGGTATTGAAACTAATTGAAAATTTTTATTTAATTAATCAATATTAAAAATTATTATTGAATAATGTGCCTATAGCAAGTTGAATGTTTATTCATAGTTATTTAGTTTTTGTCTACTACAGAGCAGCCTACTATGCTTCAACTTTATTGTTCTACTCAATCCATAATGATCTCTTTTAATGAGTTGTAATAAATTATATAAATTAATAAAAAATAATATAACCAAATCAAAAAGTATTAGTTAGTTTAACTAAAATGTGTTATTCATCTGTTGCTTTTATTTTGAAATATTAGAAATTTATAATTTATTTTGTATCATTTAACTTAAATATATGTACATTGTATATATTAACTTTTTAATTTTAATGTGTTACTTACTTTTTTTCAGAGATCAAAAAATGTTACAACGAATAATTCAATGTTGTACATTGAATGGTGGCATATTTTGTTTAAGTATAGTTCTTTTTGAATATGTTATTCTACCATCTTTAGGTTCTATAATGTCAATTATATTTGGGCAATTTAATGAAAATATTTGGTTATGGACAAGATCACTATTATCATGGACATTTGGAGCTGTATGGGTCTTACCAATATTTTTATTAAGCAAAATAATAAACAGTCTGTGGTTTCAAGTAATTAATATTTGTGTATTATAAACATCTAAAATGATTTTATGTATGGTTGTATACTCAACTATACTATAGGATTTTTTAGGATATCGCCGATATAGCGTATAAACAAAAAAAAGGTGACCCACAACAGTTGACACGTATAAGTAAAGTGATTGCAGACTTCTCGTTTAGTATAGTTGTTCAATTCTTATTTCTTATTCAAGTAAGTCAATATTTATGTTTTCAAGTTATTATCATTTAAATAATGTGTATTTTAGAGTTACTTAGTAAGTATGGTGCCATCAACAATTCTTAGTAATATTCTCAGTATTTTGCATTTATCGTTACTTTATTCACTTTACTCATTTGAATATAAATGGTGCAATATGGGTATGGAGCTAAATTCAAGGTTATCTATTATTGAGAACTGTTGGCCATATTTCCTTGGATTTGGACTACCACTAGCAGTTGTCACATCTTGGCCAGAATCATATATTATTAGGTAATATATTTTTTATTTTTTTTTAAATAATTTAATATTTTACTCCACTTTATTTTTTTTATTTTTTGTATCCAGTGGTTGTTTATTTTCAATTTTATTTCCTGTGTTTATCATCAGTGCTAATGAAGTCAGTCCATCTAAGATTAAAATATTCAGGTAAAAGTTGTTTTCATAAATATAAAATAAAATTTTACTATTTTCAAATGTTATTAATAATTTTTCTTTACTTTTAGATTGAAACTATTTGCACCAGTTTTATCTATAACGAGTACCATATTCAATCGCTCCATTGGTCCAGCTATAAAATCTTCAATAAGTACTTTATCTAAAGCTCAAAAACTGCATAAATAAATAAACATAGTTATGTTTTAATATATATATATATATATTTTTAATACCTTTTTTTAATTTATAATTTGAGTGAAAATTGATGCTTTTTTTATAACTGACTTAAGGCTGTGCTACTAAAAATATACTGAATTATATTTATAGTTTATATGTTTACTTGAATGCTCTGAGGATTAAACATATGCTTTTTATTTGTGAATAAATGTATTTAAAATTCAAGTTAACAAATTGAATTACGTAAGAATTGTAACTAACAGACTTTAATAACATTAAAATACATATATATATATATATATAATATTTTATTTTCATTTATAACTATTAAAATAAAATAAACATTTATGTATAAAATGCTTTTAGTATATATTAGTTTTTTTAACAAGAATATATTTTATAGATTTATGTCATTAGGGGTGGAAAAACTAATAATAGTTAAGATAGCTTCATGAATAAAAAGCCAATTATAGGCGGCTCTTGGTTTAGAGTTAAAGAAGTTAAAAAATAATTAAAATTAAATATCAAAATTAATTTTCTTTTGAGACTGTGACAGTAATTTTCAGAAATGGCAAGGGTATAAATTATTTATGAGTATTTTAATTGATTGATCATTGCAATCTTTGACTTTAACATTTTTTCTAGTAGGTATGTGAATCTAGTTAGTATTTTAAAGAGATAAAAAAGAATTCCAAGTAGTTCTTAGTAAAATTAGAAAACAGTAAAATGAAGTTTGTGAGTATCTGCTTTGCTATACAGTAAAAGTCAAGTTTATCTAGTCATTGAGTAGATAGGTATCTGTAATGAATTTAGATTCTTGGCAGACTGAAAAAATGTATTGACTTTACAATAATATATGTTTTATTTTATATATATATATTTATATTTTATATCTTTCATCATATTTTGGGGCGATAAAAATAATTTATTCTAAATTGAAAATTATGGAAAAATTGAAAGTTTTATACAAAATCAGTTTTTAATAAAATCAATTTGGTTTTCTGTGGCATAATTCAAAAATGAATAACAATTGATAACTTTTCATAATCATTTTTTGACAGAATTTCAGAATTTAGATTAGTCAAAGTAACTAAAATAATATGCAACAAATTTCCAAAAAAATCTAACTGCTAATTTGATTCAATTTATTAATTAAAGAGACATATACATGTGAAAATAAGCAGCAGAACATTATTGTTTAAATACTGTTATTGTATTACAAACCAAATTATTTTAATATGTTTTAAATTACATTTTATTTCAGTAATGGTACACCATTTAACCAATAGAGTTATATAATTATATGACTTTTTGTTTTTAATAATTATAATTATCATTTGTTTTATAATATTTCTATTTACCATAATATATTATTTTCATGGACGACTTGTACAGAATTAGTTATATTATGGATCACAGTAATTATTTTTAGGTAAATTAATATTTTTAAATTATAGTTACAAAAATTAGGATAAGAATGGTAGTAAAGTGAAGTTATGAGATACACAGTAATAGAAATGCAAATACTATTTGTACTCAAATTAAATAAAATAATAAATATACTGCTTACTTAAATTTGTTTGTTAAAAGGTTAAAAGTAACATATTATATAATAGGTATACATAATTATTATATAATAATGTGTATAAAGATTAGTTAAATATAAGTAATACACAAAGCGTTTATCAGTACAAAAATGTGTGAAGTTGATACAAAAAAAGGTTTTAAAACTTTTTGGTATTTTTACATTTACATGCAAGATTCTTTTCTGATTTGAAATAAGCAATAAAATGTAAGTATTATGTAAACTAATAATTTTGATAATGCCATTGCCCATTGGAGACAATAATATTATGTTTCCAGTAGACATTTTTACAAATAGTGTATGACGATGATGTATGAATACAAAATAATACGTAAACTAATAATCTATTATCTGTAAACTATACAAATTAAAATGTATTTTTCGACCATATCAACCTTTAGCATAAAAATTGAAAATCCATTCCCTTAAAATCTACTCTAATCAGCGATCATTAAATTGTAATTTTTGGATGAACATTGTTTTGTTATTTCAATTTTTCTCTTAAAAATAAAACTAACATCTATTATACGTATTTATGTATTGATGGAATAAATTACAAATATTCATATTAGCGTATTTAAATTGTTTTTATTATATTATTAGTCTGTGTATTACAAAGCAATACATTTATGATAAACTAAATAGTCAAACGTAACAGCATCTAAGGTTTTATTTCTGAATACAAACAATGATGTATATAAACGCCAGTGAGTAGGTACCTACTATTTAACATATTTTTAAACAAAAAAATTAAATCGTGTATAATATTAAAACAAATCAGACTAGACTGATGTAAAATAAATTACTGAAATCTATTTGGTACCAACCTATATAATGTATTTAATAACAATAATTTAATAAAACGTACAGGTACACAATACACTTATCTAAATAATAATATAATGAAAAATTCGACGTGAGTATAATAATGATAAAGTAGGTAGTGTAATTAATTGTTTGCATAATTATAAACGATGCGTCAGAAAGTATATAATAGATAGGAGGTACAGTTTAATATCATCATATTTTATATGGGTACACAAACATAGATGGAATAAGTCTAATCAAATCAATAATAAAACAATAGGAATTTTATTGAAATTATTAGAAAAAAATATGACTGAAAAAAAAAATAATGATTGTCAATGAATGTAAGTAATATAGTATACGATGTGAGGATGCGTATATAGAACAAAAATTATCACAAAATGTTTAACAAAATAAATATAGATATCACAATAAAAAAAGGTTTTGACACCTTCAATAACAAAATAAATAAACAAATAAAACCAATATATTACAACATTACAATACACTACCACCGGTCGCTGTAAAGTTTAATTCACAGAACTTGTACAGAACGAGAGAACAAATAATTAAAATTAAAAATAATTATAATAAATGGCAAAATTATTAATCAAATTGAACTACAGTAACGAGTTAAATCGATCGGTCAGTCTTTAGGGATCGACATTGAAATCGGCGCAAGTGTCTCTAAACTTACATTTCAAATGCATCACATGTATAATATTATTTATTGCCACTGATTAGAATAATGTTTTTCTTTTTTGTTGAATTTACTAAGTGCCTAGTGGCTATATAGTACCTAACTACGTATAGCTAGTCGAACGGCTTTATTCGTGTCATTGTTTAATTTCGCTCTTAGTGCTCGGCCCGACTCCGAATTCAACGTTTTGTAATTTGGCCTCGAGTTCTTTGATCAATTCCGCTTTTGTCTGGAAAAAATAATTCTATTATAATAATAATACATACCACGCACAGAACTTGATTTAAATAACTTTTGCGCTAGAGTCTACGTAAATAAAAGTTTATAGTATTTTATAAACATGTATAATTTTGTGATGGTCCAATAAAAAATTGAAATATGGTAATTTTAGAAAATTAAAGTTGAAATCAAATTTTAAAAAATTCTACAAGATGCTTATAAATAGATATAAAAATGGTGTAAATAACGACATTTAAAAAATATTGTTTTTTATGTAAGAAAAACACGTGCAAAATAGTATTTTTTTTTTTTTTTTTTTTTTTTTTTTTTTTAATTAAAATTGTTTAAACTGAAGAAATCATCAGACGTAATCTCAAATGATGCAGTCTACTTACTTTTTTCTTGAGATCATTAAAATTTTGTCTGATTTCTTCATGTTGTTTTTCTAGTTCTTCAGTCTTCTTCTCGTAGATCTGAGCTAAGCGCACTCGTTCATTTACACCCTTTTCCACCATTGAACTAGATACTTCTCGCTTGATCCTATACATCGAACAAAAACAAAAAACAAAACTTACGTCATGTGAAAGTGTTTTGTCAAGTATAAGATTTATTTTGACAGTAGCAAATTATAAAATCGTTAATTTATAATTACATTATGTTTGAAAATGATAAAAAGTTGCGCATATAAACGTTGGAGGATGAAAAATACGTATTTCTGTGTGGAAATTTCGTGATACATTCATATTAAAGGTACCTATGTATAATATATATGTACTATCATACCTTCCAATCTCGTCTTTGTCCTTGTGTATTTTAGCCAACGATTTCATTTCATGTCGTCGGCGGTCTTGCAACTTTTTCATGACTTCCGCGGTCTCTTTGTCTAACAGTACGCGCAACATTTTCATTTGGTTCGATTGCGACAAACGCATCACTTTCTCCAACGACGAAAACACGATCTCGTGATACTTTTCACGGAGGTCCCGTTCTTGTATCACGTGCTCCTTGCCAATGGCCAACAATCGTTCGGACTGGCTTCTGGACATTCTCGGCATCGAGCTAGTGGAATTGTCCGTATCACATTCGGAAGATTCGGATGCATCTTGGTTGCTTTGTAGTACGCTTTCCTGGCTGAGGGACATGAAACGAATACGATTAAAAATTTTTGGTTTTTTTTTTTTTTTTTGTTTATATAATATATTAAGACGCATAGACGCGATCATGTTGATCATAATAATTATTACATGTTTTTTATCGATAGCCGCTTAACAAATCGGGAGCTCATTGAAAACTTGGATATTCGCATCCGTTCCGAATCGTGTGACGATTTCAGATGCTGCACGCGATGTCTCTCTTTTTCATATTTCCTCCGAAGATTTTCGATCTTTTTCTCGAGCTCCATTTTTTTATCCTTTACCAGTTTGTTTTCGCTAAGTTTTGAAAGAGATTCGGCGACTATACCTTCGCTTACTGTACGCACAACAAAAAATAATATTTCATATATTACATTAAAATTTTATATGTGTATGCTTATGATTGACAGGATTTATTAGTACTGTTTCTATAATATTATGTTTGGTTTAATGTAAAATTATCGTATTTAAGTGAAAACTCGAATCTAACTCACGAGAAGTAGTCAACAACACCGGAAGATTCCTTTGAGCTACTTTCGAACCCTTGCTAAAATCATCGTTGATCGAAAATTCAAACGCTGACACGGG